GATGGAAGGAATTAGTGGCCAGTATTTCGGAGAAGGAGAGTACCGTGCCTTTGGTAGCGTCCCACATTGCCTTGCTGACAGCTAAGGCCCTAGTGGACAATTTAATCCAATTGACGGATCTCGCCTCGGAGACAGAAAACGGTCGTCATCATCCGCTGTTTCTGCTGACCCTGCAGCAACTCCACAAGACCCAGGGCAAGGCGAGACTCACGCAAATCTTCAACGACAGCAAGGTGGATCTTATTAGCCAACTGCCAGAAGCGGAAAAAACGAAGGAACGTTTGGGCGAGATCTTGGAAGATCGGGAATTGACTTTCCTTTATCCTCTTCTCAGAATCCAGGGTGACATGTGGCGTCAATTGGAGGCTGATCCGGCGCCTAATGCTCTTTACAAATGGATCAAGGAGAAGCTGGATCCCCAACACCATTCTGATCCCGCATTCATTAATGCTATGATGAATGTACTTTTCAAGTACATCACTGGGGTTAGTGAGCCTTATTGAATATATTTATTTTATTTTAAATAAAACACATAAGTTAATAAAATTTGAATCTTCCTCAAAATGTTAACATTTTTTTATATATATATGTAAAACAGGAGACAACATTGGCGCCCGGTGTTGATCCGACCGTAAATCCAGACAAACAACTGCAAGAGAAGGAAAGTGCGTTACTGCAGAAATATGCACGCTTCATTCGCACATTCCTGACTACCATCGACTCACAAGTTACGGCTCTTCATGCGCTTCAAGTGTTCTGCTTCTCGCACAATTTTCCAAAAGGGCTGCTGCTACGATGGTTCATAGCACTCTACAACCTTGAAGTCATCGAAGAGGAAGCATACCACAAGTGGAGAGACACCGTTACTGATGCTTATCCGGGCAAGGGCAAGGCATTATTCCAGGTAAATGTGCAATTATTACGGCATTTTTTATTTAAAATCTTGCTTTAATTAGATAGTAGAATTCAATAGTATTTAGATAAATTTTTAAATTCTGGATTTAAATCAAGCTAGTTCTCTCTATGATATAACCACGTTATTAAAAACAGCATATTTTGGAAATTTTTACGTCGATCTTTCTCAAATTCGAGTTTCTCGAGAATTAAGGATAAATAGGAAATACGTTGTCCATTGTTTTATTTCAACATCTTCATGAAGTTTATTTAGTTGAATAATTTAGATTGCGAATAATTTGAAATTTGGTGCTGTTTACAGGTAAATTCCTGGTTAACATGGCTTGCTGAAGCATCAGAGGAAGAGGAAGAAGACGACGAGGATGAGAAGAATTAATTGCAAGAGCCTCGAAAGCATTATTCAGACTATCTATGATTTGGAATAGAGTTTTACTATCTATATCGCTGAACCACAGGTGTTTCAGTTTTACTAATTGAGTTATCACCATCCAGAATTGCAAACATCTTGTTAGTCTGTCTCAAGCCCTCACGCGTGGTTGGAAAAAAAAACGGACTTTACAATCATGTCTGAAAGGAATAAGATAGTTTGTAGTCAACGAGTGGTATACGACAGACGTTTCAAGCAAGACGTTTTAGAATTTTTTTTTAGATAATTAAATATTGGTATAATTTATAAAAAAAATATAATATTGGGCCAGCAGAAATAATCGAGATACTACGCCACTGTATGGTCGTCGGTGCAGAAAGCAAAAAAAAAAAGAAAAGAAAAAGAAAAAGCACGAGAAAAATTAATCTGGTCATTCTTGTGTTGTCCGAGTTTTTGTCTAGTATTGTGCATGTGTCACGTTTTGTAAGTATCCTTTTTGTTCGCGGCAATAAGTGAAGTCGTTTGTTATCTCTGTGTACCAAGCATTACATTTATTACGAGGAATTCTTACTATAATTATTATCAATTATTAATATTATTATTAATTATACATAATTGATTATCAATAACCGAAATATATCTACATCTTTCTAATGAAGACTAAAAAAAAAAAAGAAAAAAATATGTCGAAATTAATCGGAAGCAAAGGGCCGACTCAGTAGTGTACGTAAACCGCAAACAGTGAAGCACTTTTCTTTTCAATACAGGAACAAAATTCTTAGATCGCAATTTAGATACACCAAGTACGAGCGTGATTATTATCGCTAAATTAACGCAAAAACGAGAAAAAGAAGTGAGAAACACCGTTTGCCCGTGTATCTACTTGCTGCGCCATTTGATTCTAATAAGTACTAATTAATTACAGTTATAATAACAACCAGCAGCCAACATCACATCCATTTAACGTAATAATTAGCGAACACTAGTGACACGACTAAAACTCGTATTTAAAAGGAAAAAAAGAATAAAATATGCCTTGGTGTAATTTATTACAGATGGCCCTCTGGTTGTTGCGTTGATGACCGATCACCACCACCACTACCACACCTCACCTCACCTCACCTCATTTCACTTCACATTTCCCCTTTATATACATATATATATATATGCAACGGTTTTTGATATCTCGCTCGATCACCGAGTACAAAGAGATCAATACGCGCAAATCGCGTCATCGAGTATCGAGCGCGTATTGATCCAGTTAAATGTGGTTGGAGAACAGCTCTGTGTATCTCTCCCGCATCGTCGCCGAGTACAGTTGATAATTTTTAAATCGGCTCGAGACGTCAGTAATTTACGAAAGCCGAAAGCTCCGTGCAATAACATGTCGCGTAACGACTTTCGCGATCGTTTTCTCCCTTCTTCGTTCGAAATGGAGATGCCTAGCTCCTGTATACTCAGCGCCTTTCTTTTTCTTCCTTAGTAACTGGCTAGTGTTTCTATTGCCGAATCTCTGTAAAACTAGTGTATAGAAACTGAATACCCGACGCCGAGGAAATTTTGGGTATGGTTTTGTGTTGTCGTTATATAAGATATTGTACATATGTATTAATTCCTTGATTGTTCAACGGTTTCTACATGATTTAGAATATCGCCAGACTGAAGCGTTCTCTTCTCCCCGAACGGCGGCGTCTGTTTCCTTTTTTAATAAATAAATAATACAAAAAAAAGAGAGAGAGAAATGTTAGGTGATCGGAGCGTCAGTCGGTTAAGATTCGTATCTCCGTTACTTCATCCGAATATGTCATACACTGTCATACATTATTCACGAGCCAGTTTTTGACGACAGCACTCGGATACACGCGCGTCGAGTGTGTTAATCCAGAATTTCTTCTTCGCAACTCCGAAGCGGCGTTATAATAAGTAGATCGTAATGCGAGACGACACTTTGTCGGAGGGATTGGCGATAAGGATGGTAGCGTATTATTCGCGACGCGTCTACCCGTTTCTACCTGATCCAAGGAATTATTAAAACTATTGGATCGAATTCCCCATTCGTAGTTTCCGCGGTTTCGAGAAGGCACACGCCGACCGCGGCGTCTCGCTGCGAGGGTCCTGACGAGGACCGATCCCCCAAGCCGGTCGTCCCTTCGCATACTGTGAGAGAACAAAAAAGAATAAAAAAATATTTGTAACACTATTGTAATACGTTATAGCGGATATACATTCGTATACATTCGTCTGTGTTTTTCCCGTCGAGAGATCAAATGCTGGTGTCCAATTTGCCGAATTACTGCAACGCCGTATATGCTCGTGTCCAATTTTGCCGAATTACAAACGCGTATATGCGGATATACATCTCGCCCCCGTGCCACGAGAGTGTAACTGCGTGTGTGCGTGTGCGTGTATGCGTGCGTGTATACCTGGGACTTTGTTATAGTTTATTTTCTCATACTTCTCCGCATAATTATATACCGGCTCGTCGAGAAAACGTACGCATACCGATTTGATTCACATGTGTAACATCTTCAGTATTATTTCGCGAATAATCGAACCACGTTATGTAGACACTCTTAGTGTGTTTTCGCCCCTCCCCCCGCTCCAATTAGACATTAAAACCGATAACAAAAAAAAGAACAAACGCATCTTTTATCTCTGTCAATAAAAAAATTGTTCCTAGGACCACTCGATCGTTCTTTCTGCGTAATAATCGTCATCGCTTCTCTGAGAAAAAAAACACGAGTTGCAGCGGAAATGTCTCTTTATCTCCGCAGCGATTGAATTATATTATCTTATCGCGCGGAATCCATGCTACTCGATCGTACGTGACATCAGGTAATCAATATATTGAATAGATATCACAAAGAACAACAGGATTTCGTCACACGATCACGAGGAGAGGTATTCAGGATTAACACTTACCGTATATGATTTCCGGATCGTACAGAAAATCGTAGCGTATAGCATCTTCGTCTTCGATTGCGTAATTAGATGCGCGCGATCTTACGCAAGTGCGATCGTGACGACTCGCGCGAATGAGGTACAGATATTTACGATTCGGATGGATAAGTTTACACTTTATTATCATCCTCTCGGAAGGTCGAAGTAAAGACATCGTGAAACGCAATTAACGTCTCCGTATTCTCGCTTATCGGAACGTCTCTTTTCGATATTTCTTTTTTTTTCTTCTTCCCGTCCGAACGTTAAGGTTTCGTTGGAATTGTTGCAACGGATGGTGCTGTTAATTAAGATACAATTAATGTAGAGTCGCAATTAAAAACGCGTAAATGCCGGTGGCGACTATCGAGGCGAGCGCATGCCGTTCCCCTCTCGTCTCGATCGAATGGCAGTGATGAAAAAAAAAAGGATATCTCTCAAAATTCGAGAGCACATTTATCCCTAAATGCAATTCAGAATGCCTCGGAATAAGCGGCTCGAATTCTAACTGCGGTGTCTCTCCCCGGGAATTTAATCTAAGAGACCAGGCGATATCTTCCTCTCAAAGTCTTCGAGTGAATCACAGCCAGCGAAACGTACGACGAAATATACAATCGTTTCACTGTGCGCAGATTTTGATTTGATTTTTTTTTCCTTAGCATTTCCATGTTTTTGGCAAATCTGAAGAGACTCGTTAGAATTCGACCCGCTTATCTTCGATTATTCAGACGAGACTCTGGTGAAATCTGCAGGTTGATTGAGTGCCGGATACTGGTCTTTCTTTTTGTCCAAATGAAATTTTTATTAAACACGGTTCTTCTGTAACATCGAGGACGAATTATAACATAAATAATCATCGTCGATCAGTATCACTTTTTCGCGCTCAACAATGAGTCTATTAGTAACACTGGAAGATAGTAGAGTTCGGGGGATTTTCGAGGGCGGGGAACGGGGGGGTGGAGATGGGGGTGGCGGCAGCGGTGGTGACAGCGGTCTCTCTGCTCCCTCTGCCAGGTGCATCTATCTTTCGCTCTCACGCGCATCTCTTCTCGCACACTCTTTCATTCTCTCTCACGCAATCTCTCGCACATACCCGAATAATTACCGTTCACTCAGCTACACGAGGTTTTGGTATACAACAATACCTTACCTAGGTCTAGCCTAAATTGTAATTATCGCAGCGTGAAGCATCGTGGTGGTATGTACATATACATATCGCACGCGCGCGCACAACTATAATTAAATCCCCGGGTTCGTCTTTCTCGGATTTTTTCTTCCTTTTTTTTAATTTACCTTTCAGCGATACAATCGCGTTCGGTGTGTTCCCGATATATCGTACATATATTAAAATATACAACGGACAGAAATAGAGGGAAGAAGGGTAGTTGGCGTAAAATGTGTCTAGCGTGCCTGCGTTAATTCTCCCGAGCGTAAAACGACGAAAATCGCGTTTCCCGTTGCAGGGAGAAAACGGGGAAAAAAAAGATTAAAAAAAAAGAGGTAAACGAACCACCACCACCACCGCTCCCCGGCTCGCTCGTGCACAAGTTTTTCGTTTCTTCTTTTTTTTTTTAAGCGACGCGAGTTTCCGAAAAAATTGCAACTTCTCTTCCATGTTCGTTATCGCTCGTTCTTCATTCCCAACGAGACTATTGTTTCTGCTCGGCGGGATGTGTATACAGGTGCATTTCCAGGGCGAGAACGGCGATTCTCCGGACAAACGCTGTCAATTAATCCTTTCGGTTCATTTTTTTTTTCGTCCCCGAATTCAAGAGCTTGCCAATTCGACAATCTCGATTTCACCTCTCTCTCTTCGCCGGAAATACGCCTGTATCGTTGAGCTTGTCTGCATCTTTTTCTTAGGTAGCAAAATACTGCGCAGTCGAAAATGGCAAGCGGGCGCTCTGGTTTCGTACTTTCCTTGCGGATTTAGCTTTTTCTTTCTGCCCCTCGCCCTTTTATATCCGAACATGATTGTGGGAAGAAATGGTGACGGTGGCGACCGATCGAAAGACCGTGCGCGCACAAGGAATGCGATCGTCAAGCTCCCAAAGGACAATCTCATTCCAGGGCAATGCACGTTCGTCCGCCGGCTGCCGCCTCACGGTGAATTATGCGTGTGCATGTGCGATCGGTCAATTTCTCGGAGAGACGTTCGACGCAGCGCGGACTACTACTTTCGTGAATTTTTTTTTTTTGTCAGACGCCAAACGCCCGCTCGCCTGCACTGAACGAACTTAATATGGAATGTACAAATTATCCTCCGTTTACATGTCATTATCAGCGTATAATATAACTTCTCTCAGATGATCATTGATTTCGCCATCATACGGTATATTGTGTCTCTCTTTCTCTCTGTATGTGTGTGTGTGTATGTGTGTACTGATGTGTCTACTGGTACGCACGGTCTTAATGGTTTTACGCAAGCTTCACATGTACCCGTTACTCCATTGACATACGACGACGTTATTCTCGACGATGGAGATAAATGTGGATGAAAATCGCGCGACTAATCAGGCGTCGACCGCTGGCCTTTGCGGCTCTGACAGCCCGATTATTCAGCGGATCATTCCCTTTTCTTTCTTCCCCCCCTCCTTCTCTCGTCTACCGAGGCAACGTATCGTTGTCCATGAATAACCGTGAAATAATAAAATCCCGTCGTGTCCAGCAGCCTCTCTCAATTGACTTAAAATACTATCGTGTGTATCTTGATGAATCAACTACTCGCATTCATACTTTTTTTCTTTTTTTTTCTTTTTACTAAAGTTTCATCCACCATATCATTCTTCGTCTACTAATTTCTAGTTGCACAATCTCCGTACACGCGAGATCTTGTCCGGTACATTCTCACAAACTCTCACTCTCTCTCTCTCTCTCTCTCTCTCTTTCTTCCTCTCCCTCTCTTTCGCTCTGTTACATTACGCCGTTTTGTCACGCGCGATTTGCGTGTCGCTTACTCTTACATACTTCTATTCCGATGATATAATTTCGTTTCTTTAGAGTTTTCTTTATTTTTGTGTGATTCCTATTCGCGTACCTGCCGTTTCGCGCGATTTGCATTTATAATATATTTATATATATATAATATATATAATTGTGCTAAATATTCTTTTATCAATAACATATTTTCCTTTATACACTCAGTAGAGCCGATTACTTTAACTGGTAATTCAATGTCGTACTAAGCTATAAATGATTACTATACAGTGAAAGAGAAATGTTCGACAATGGGATTTAACACAGGAGATCTTTTCTCTAAATATGTATATGTATTTCCCTGTCGACCTTTGCTTTCCACGCTTTCTTCCGTTTTTCTTTCCGCTATTACATTCGCTTCTTCTTCATACCGTTCGCAGCGTTCGATTCGAAATGCGCCGTTGCGCGTCGGTGTCGCGAAATCAAGAAAAAAAAAACTGGCCGCACTTCTCTCGATCGCAGCACCTTCGATTATAATCATGCAATCCGAGTGACAAGTAATGCGTGGTTAAATGTCTGTACGCTAAATAGATCGATCTTTTTTTTTTGAGTATGATATTACAGGGGGACGCGCAGAGATGAGCCGAGATGGTAATTAGATAGGTATGCATGGAGTAACGTGATTAAGTAAAATATGTCGAAACAAGTTTTGTAGCATAATAGTAGTCGGGGAGCGCTGTTGGTTGCAGGCGACATGTCTTGCATGGAGCCATGGCAGGTAGTATGCCGCTACTGACCGTTTACTTGGTGTACAGGTAGATGGCGACGATCAGGCCGTAGAGACCCAATACTTCGGCGAAGATCAGAATCAGGATCATGCCGACGAAGAGACGAGGTTGCTGAGCGGTACCTCTCACACCGGCATCGCCCACGATGCCGATAGCGAATCCGGCTGCTAGACCGGAGAAGCCTACAGCTAAACCAGCACCCAAGTGGGTGAAACCACTAAAAAAACAGAACGAAAAGATTTTCGTTAATTACAAAGTTATTTTTGCCGCAAGCTGCAAGCGTTTTACATTCTTTAATAAATTAAAGTATTTGCAATTATATTGTAAAACGCTGCTTAATGTACAGAGATTTGTACGTAAGCAGCTTTTTGCGTGTATAAAAGATACGTACTTATACAGGTCGTATTTAGGGGCTCTCCCAAGAGTACCGGCAATGAGTACTGCCACTACAAGACCGTAAATGGCAATAATACCTGCCATGACAACGGGAATGATGGATTTCATAATTAATTCTGGCCTCATGACAGACATCGCTGCGATTCCCGTACCGGCCTTTGCTGTGCCATATGCTGCTCCCAGAGCTGTAGAATAAAATAAATAATGCGTTACAAATAATTTGCACTGCTGTATCAAGAACAAAAATTAACAGGAATTATATTTTCTTTTATATAATTCATATATTAGCCAATACTTCAGTTTTTCGGAATTAATATTAATAAAACATTTTAAGACTCTTATACATCTCTAGTTAAATTGAGAGGAATGTTTAATATAATGATAGATAAAGTGACAAATATAATGATAGTTCGACAGTAAAGCTATTATAGTAAAATTTAAAAAATAGAATAGTTAAAAATAAACAATCATTCCTCAAAATTGTCTTGCATAGTAAAAAGGTAATGCAACAAAAACTGTCTATAATATAATATTGAACTTGTGATAAAAGATGTATATCGAGTGAATTAGTGCTTTCCTCTACTATTAATCGTTTCAATTTAATAAAAGTTTACTGATAAAGTTCGAGATATTTTTTATACTCTGAAGCATTCGTACGTGATTATCCAATTGTTCGAGGCAAAACATGTGACACGAGAGTTCATTTTTAAAGACCGGCGCAGTAAATCGTCAATAAAGTCGAATAATCTCGTGCGAATTAATTCCCACGCTGTAGGGAGAGAGGTCCTCGTAAAAAAGGGGGAGGAAAAAAAGGATCATAAATTGCATGCATCGCGGGTATTTTCCAGACGCACGGTATACTTCTTGGCGGTTTCAGCCGCGCGAGCCGAGCGTGCCACGAGGATTATCGATCGAGCTCCGCTGCGACGACGGTCCCAACGGGGAAGCGACGAAAATAATCATCATCCCGAGAATCATTTTCCGTTTTTCCCTTCACGTGCGTCACCGACGATCCCGACCGCGGATCGCGATCGCGACGACGGCAGGTATCCCCGTGACATCAGGGGGGAGGGTACCCAGCCCAGCCTGGAAATCGCAGTCACATGATTCTCACGTTGGCAGTCACATGACAATCGCACAAGTCCCATCTCGTGAGTAGGGGGGCGTGGCTGGGAGAGGCGATCGTGTCATATTTTTTTTTCTCTCCTCTCGTACCTTCGGCCCTAACGTCGTATCCTGCTCTAGTTAGTTAGGCCGTGGCCATTTAATCGCCGTTACCGCAAACCTTATCGTGCGCCAACATATGCGCGCCTCTTATCGTATATAAATAAACACCTCTCTCGAGCGCTGGTGGCCAGTCGATTATGCCCGAGTCGCGTTGCACGAGGCGTTGTAGATCAAACAAGTGGGCTACCGTCTCGCATTTCAAGCTTCGTCTCTCTCTCTCTCTCTCTCTCTCTCTCTCTCTCTCTCTCTCTCGTCGAAATTTCTTTACGAGCTCGCTGAAACGAGTTTCTCTCGACGCGCGCAAGCCGGACGCGATTGCCGAATTGGCCCACGGTCAATTTGTATGCTTCCGCCGGAGCGCACATCGCTCCTCGTATAAGGCGACTCGGGAGACAAACAAGCCGCGATCAAATCTTACGACGACGACGACGACGGTCTCGCCGGAGGACGTTCGTATGATCGATATCGATATTCTTCCGGGAAGAAATGACGTGGGAAATCGCGACCTTTGCTCCTCGCGACGCGATCTCGCATTTCCGTCGGCGGAAAGGCCGAAGGGCCGCATACGGGAAAAGGCATTCGTATTGATCTTTCCCAACGGGTAAAAGCGACGCTCGCTTGCTCGCTCACGGCGGCGGCGATGTAGAGAGTCCCCCCGGGGGGGTCACCGTTTACCGCGAATTCGGGAAAATCATTAATTGTAAATCGATACGCGCGCCGGGAGCGCATTCGCCTCGCGAGGAAAGGAGCGACTTTGCACCTTCCTGCTACGCGTCTTCGTAAAAGCCGAAGAAATGCGCGTCTCGCCTCCGCGAAAAAGCGCGAGGGAAAGGAGATCGATTCGCATCGTATAACATAATGAAAAATGTCAAACTTAAAAGAGCGAGACAGGACGACCGTGTGTAGAAGGTGCACGTAAGGTGCAGGAGTCGAAACGGCGCGGAGTGGCGGGTGGCGGGGAAACGCGTCTCGTGACACGCACGAGGCGCACGCCCGCTCGCGTATTCCGTACACATCTGTGTCTGCTACTCTCTCCGTCTCTATCCATCCGTCCATCCTCCTTTCCGTCGCTTTTCCGAGGCTCGTAAAATTCTAGCGGCGTGCCGCTCGTCAGCCGAGGTCAGCATTACGAAATAGCCTGCGCCCGGCCGCGGCGGCTATTCCGCGGCTGGCTGATTCGCGAATAAAACGCGTTCTCGTTTTAAGGGGGGAACGCGGCGCGAGCGCGCAGCCGACACGCGATTTCTTGGACCGCGTCTCCTTGGAAATTGCCAAATTTCACGGGCCGAGCGAGACGTTCGCGACGAAAGCTAGACTGAACTTTAAAGGGTAAAAACGCGAAGCGTATGGGAGCGGGATGAAAGTAATCGACGTCGAAAGCGGAACCGCGATACGAGAGAGAGGAATCGTCAGCGGTGGCTGGCACCGATATTTCGCGTCAAGATAAACGTGCGGCTGAAATTTTCACGTGAGCGGCTCTCGCGCTCGTTGCGGCTTCCGCGGAGAGAGCAACGTCGCCGCCGCCGCCGCGACTCGTCACGCGTCTCGCGGCACATGACGTCGCCGCCCGCCCCGCCGCCGCCGCCGCCGTCGTCGTCGCTCGCGTACGTACGCCCCGTGGAAAACGAGCGAGCTCTCCCCCGCGTTTCTTCCTCGCGGGGAAGGATCGATAATCCGCGCGCGCCGCGCTGTTAGCACACGATTTTCGTCTTATGCCGCACGAGAAAATGGCGTGAGACGATATACATAACATCGGCCGCCCCGTGTCCACGGGGGGCGACGGCGACGGCGACGACGTCGATGTAGGATCGTGTCGACAAGCGACGTCGACGTCGACGTTCGTCATTGATGGAGCGCGAAGTGCGCGCGCGGAGAACGCAGTAAGAGACGCGGGCCTCGCGGCTCCGCGACCTCGTTTGTCGCCGAACGTCGCGAACGAGCGCACGTAGCGAGCGAGCGAGCGAGATCACGAGGTGGCCATGCACGGGCAGACAGTTGAAACTCACCAGAAAATACGATGGCAGAGGCGGCGCCCATAACGCCGAAGAACGGCGAGTACACCGGGGCGTCTTCTGTGGCTGCACTCATTGTGGCCTGATTTGTCGGGTCTCGGCGGTCGAGTCGATCACGGGGTGTTGTATTTACAGGTTGCACGGAGATCGGGAGTCTCGCGCGGGATCGTCGTACGTGGAGGCGATCTTCACGTCACTCACGTCGCTAAACTAGTGGCCCACTGTCAAATATGGCCTACCGGAGTACAGTGTGGCGCGGGTCATGTGATGAGTGACGATACGATCCAACGCGGTGGAAGGTGGCCGCTGTCGCGGCGTGTCGCGTCAGTCCGGTCGCGATTGGCCGCGCGCCCGCGCCGCCGGCGAATCGCGCGCCGCGTCTCATCCCCGGCCGGCTGACGTTGGGCCCGCCGATTGGCCGGCGTCCGGTCGCGCATCCGCTCTCTCGACGTCGCGAGAGCGCGTGACATGCGTTTTCCGCCTCGATTTTCCGTGCGGACTTTTCCGAATAAGTCCTGTTGCCCGGTGGAATACCGCGCGAATGTCCTTCGCGATCGCGCGACATTCCGCGATGCTCGTTCGACGGTGTCCCGGTCCGAAAATCATCCCGCTCAACGAATTTGCCCGTATACGTAATCCAGGCACATGACCGGGTGTTTGAACTGTTACGTCCGTGTCAGCTGAGTCGCTGCAGCATATCGCGAGGTTTCGAGAGATAAACGACGTAGAGAGATAGGATGAACGACGTACTTGTGAATATCGATATGATTACAAAGATAACAAAAAGAGATTACGCTGATGCATTTCTTTTACATTCTATGATAGAAACTATTTCATTGCTATATTATATACGTTGACCATTTACTGTATATTGAATTCTCAAAAATTGCATCACGGCCCTGACCTCGTTACGCCACTCTATTGAAAAAACTGTCAACAATTCAATCGAAATATACGTGCGTGAAATTATATTTTGGTAGATTTAACACTTTAATTATATCTCACCTAATTATATGTTATCTTTGTACTCTGTCAATTTTTGAAAATTTATGTCATCATGTTGTTATAAGGTTAGGTTTAAAATTATAGAAATTTTTGAAAATTTATAATTACTTTTTATCTAATTGTATTCTTCAATTCTTTATAAGTTTGAGATTTTCAGTTTCTGTAATTCGAAGAATCAAACTCCTTGAAATCACAATTAATAATTTTCTCAGAATTTTAATTATCCCTACAGTGCCATCTATTATCCAATTAGTTTTTCAGGATATCTTATCGACTTTTACAACTTAAATTTTTAATATCTTCACAAATGAACATAAGTTGAAAGTTAAATTAAAAGTTAAATCTTTTTTTTAGAAAAATTATTGTAATATTATTTTTATATCTCTCAATTTACTATTGAGAGTTCTGAGAAATTTATATTCTGCGGTTCGACGATAGAAGTGCAAGAAAGTGTAGTTGCAAAGAGAACTCGTGCTTACTTGTGGCGTCATCGTTCGGATAATTTTGAAACTGCAGTGCATGATTCAAACATGTCGTAAAACTCGTAAACTTGATCGCTTGATGCTGTTGATAGACGCGTTAATGCGTGGTGTGCACGTGGATTCCGCAGATATTCGTTTGATATTAACGAAGGAAAGATGAAATTCTCATATAAGGTGAGACACTTCCTGTTTTGAAAAGCTACAATTTACGCATTTTCCTTTTCTGTGCAAATCCTATTGTTTGAATTATAACGCGCATACAATACTTTTAACCTATAATTTTTGCGTTGGTATTTTATGTACTCTTTTCTATTTACACTTAGCTAGAAGATTTTAATAAATTTTAAGTTGTATATTTAGTTGTAATAACTTTTATTAACCTGGTTACTTTCTAATAATTATAACACACATGTAATTAAAATACATAAAAATTTTATGTTAATAATTTTAACTTAAAATTTATACAGCAGGTATATATTCATAAATTACAATAATGCTTTCTATTTCTGTTACAGTTCAGTAATTTACTTGGCACAGTTTATCGTAAAGGAGACTTACTCTTTTCTCCAGATGGATCGTCAGTTATTAGCCCTGTGGGCAATAGAATCACAATCTTTGACTTAAAAAAGTAAGTAATCATAAAAGTATTAATTTTAATGTGAATATCACATATTTGAAAGCTTCATAAAGCTTATTATTTTCATGTAGTAATGATTCGTCACATAATTTTACATAAAAATGATTTTTTTTTTTAGCAATAAATCTATGACGCTCCCTGTGGAAAGCAGATTTAATTATACTACTATTGACATATCACCAAATGGTTGTATGCTAGTCGCGATTAACGCAGGTAAGACTTCTTTCTATATGCGCATGTACTTGTAAAAATTATTGTAATCATATTTATGAAGGAGTATTTGTAGAATGAAGTAATTGTATAGTTTTATAATATATCTGCAGATGGTGAAGCTCATATCATCAGTCTGATAAGCAAAGTGATTTTACACAAGTATAGATTTAAAGGACGCCCGAAGCGTGTAAAGTTTTCTCCAGATGGAAAGCATTTTGCAGTTTGCAAAGGAGGTGGCGGTAAGTGCTATAAATTTGTGAAAGTGTATTGTATTTACGTAAACACAATATGTAACAATTATGCAAAATAATATTCCTTTTATGTTTCAGTTTTCGTTTTCAATGCACCGGGCTTACAAACGGGGGATTACAATCCATTTATTATGGAACGTGCGTTTCACGGAGCCACCTCTGAGACAACGTGCGTTAATTGGTCTTTTGACTCGAAATTGTTGGCGGTCGGTTCGAAGGATACCACCGTGAAGATATACAGTTTACAAAAATGGGCGAACTTTCGGTGGATTACATTGGGCGGTCATTCCGACGTAATTGTGGCGTGCTTCTTTGAAGCAAAACAGTATGATATGTACACTATTAGCAAGTAAGTGATACAGTTTAAAATATTTACATCGTATTGATTGTCTAATTATTTTTGCTATACTTAATCAAGAATTTTCTCCTGTGCAATAATTTCTCATAAATTTATTTTTGAACGATTTTTTTCACAGAAGTGGCCGAATGTGCGTCTGGGAATGCACACTTGAACCAGACGATTGGGTTGAAATGGAACCACCTTCAAAAAAGGAAAAATCCAAAGACAGCGACAGTGAGGATGATATCGATATAGAAAAAATTATTGAGAGAACAGAAAAGCAGAAGGCCCATGCTGAACGTAAATTGTTAGACGCAGGTAATGAAAATTTCTTTAGCATTCCACGAAATCTTTGAATTTGATATTATTTATAAATAAATGAAAAATCTGTTGGAATATAATTGGTCAGAAATAATTGTAAGTAATATAATTGAGTATTATAACATGTAACAGTGATTTATAAGAATATCCATATTTTATCAGATGATTTGCCACAAGATGATACACAAGAGGTCTTTACGAAAGAGGAAAATAAGAAAATCAAAATGTTAGGTTATAAAAAGCAAGCTACTTTCTATTTAACAGACGAAGTTCGCAAACAAAATAGAGATGCAAAGCTTACTGCAGCTGCTTATCATCAGGATACTCATATATTGGTTATTGGATTTAACATTGGTTCATTTTACTTGTATGAAATGCCACATGCTAATTTGATCCATTCGTTGAGGTAAAGTTTACATTTTAATTATAAAATAATTTCATATTTGTATCTTTTGTCACATTATTATTATTATATATGCGATATTAGAGATAAATTAAACTACTGTATGGTTTTACAGTATTTCTCGACAGCGTATTTCGTCGATCGCGTTAAATTCTACCGGAGATTGGATAGCTATAGGATGCTCCCACGCTGGTCAGCTCCTGGTTTGGGAATGGCAGAGTGAAACATACGCTATGAAGCAGCAAGGGCATCGAACTAATATGAATTGTCTGGCGTACAGTCCCGACGGCCAGTACATCATAACGGGCGGCGACGACGGGAAAGTTAAATTATGGAACACGCTAACCGGATTCTGTACGCTCACGTTCCACGAGCACACCTCGTCGATATCCAGCGTTCTGTTCAGTCACAATCGTAAATTCGTCGCGTCCGCCTCGTTGGACGGAACGGTGCGAGCGTACGATTTGGCGAGGTACAGAAATTTCCGTACTCTCACCTCGCCACGTCCGGTGCAATTTTCCTGCCTGGCGATCGACGCGAGCGACGAGTTTCTCGCTGCGGGTGGCCAAGATTTCTTCGACGTGTATCTGTGGAGCATGAAACTTGGGACACTTTTAGAGGTATGTGTAACTCCATTCGACAGCGCGCGAGCGTTGATTTGCACGATTTTAGTTTTTACAATTACATTGGTTTGAAGTATAGACATATGCCTAAGTTATGCAATCAAAATAATGTGCTTATTAAAATACTCAATTTCAGATATTGAGCGGCCACGAGGGACCTGTTGCGAGCTTGGCATTCAATCCCAATCCCGCCAGTACAGAACTGGTATCCGCATCCTGGGACAAAACGTTGAAAATATGGAATGCCATTGAAAATGGCTCCGCGCACGAGACTGTACGATTAACCGCTGATGCGCTGTGCGTGACTTACAAACCGAGCGGAGAAGAAGTTGCCGTCGCTACGTTGGACGGACAGATTACGTTTTTTGAGTGTAAGACGGCAAGGCAGACGGGCTTTATTGAGGGCAGAACCGATTTGGGTGCTGGTAGAACTAAAACGGATCTCGTCACGGCGAAGAAGAATTTGCAATCCAAGTGAGTAGCCCAGCGCGAGAAATGTTATTAATGCGGTAAATCAATGTATGTCTTAATGATACATCATTAAATACGTTCATTCTGTCTTTCAGAGCTTTCACTACGTTATGTTACTCGGCTGACGGTACGTGCATATTAGCTGGTGGTCGTTCCAAGAATGTGTGCATTTACAACGTTCAAGAATCGGTATTGTTGAAAAAGTACGAGATCACTCAGAATCGTTCTCTGGATGGCGTGGACGTAAGTAACAATATATGTTATAAATATTTCAAATTTTTTACCTTTCTATTATTAGGCTGAAGTGCTGAATTAGTTGTAAAACAATTTAAAAGTCTATTTTTAATTTCTACTTTGGCAGGATGTTATAAACAGGAAGTACATGTCTGAATTTGGAAACACAGCTTTAATTGAGCATCGCGAAGGCGGCAACATATCGTTACGACTGCCAGGTGTTAAAAGTGGAGATATGGCAAGCAGGAGAGTCAAACCGGAAGTGAGAGTACTCAGTTTACAATTCTCTCCCACAGGTAGAAATAAATGTGATTAGTTAATTATTTATTTTATTCGAAACAAGTGTATCTCAAGTGTGTGTTTGTAAAAATAGGACAAGCATGGGCGGCAGCAACAACGGAAGGCTTGTTGATATATTCTTTGGATATTGGATTGATGTTCGATCCGTTTCAATTGGAGCTTGGAATTACTCCGGACACCGTGAGAGAAACACTTGATAAACACGATTACGCAAAAGGTATATATAGACGCCTTTGTATTATTTAATAATAATGAGAATAACAAATTAATTGTCTGTATTACTATTTTTAGCATTAATGATGGCATTGAAGTTAAATGAGAAGCTGTTGATACAACAAGTTATAGAAACCATTCCGTACAAAGAAAGTGAGTTTATATACATATATTTTTAATTAATTATACTAATGATTTAATAGTGCTGTGATATATAATAAATTCTCGGTCGATTTTTCGCTGTTACAGTTGAATTAATAACGACGAGTATGCCAGACGTTTATATCGAAAAGCTATTGAAATTCATAGCATCTGAATTGGAATCAACGAGGCATATACACTTCTATCTTTTATGGATAGAAACAATCTTGACGAAATGCGGGTCACGCATCGATGGCGCGCTAATGATGCCACTGCTGTTAATGCTGCATAAGAATATGCAAAAGAAATATGACGACCTTAGTAAAATGTAAATGTTACATTTTTTAAATATATATAGTGTATATACACGTTCCTGTAAATAGAAATAATTACGTAATTGACTTTATTACGTTTTTGCAGATGCGATTTTAATCAATATACGATAAGCTATATACTGAGAATAGGAGATTTGAAATCTGCGAAAGATGTGTCAAGGTATTCTGCGGTCTCGATAGATGACGAATCTGATTTGTCCGTAGAAGAAATCGATACGGATTGAGCTTTATTTAAATTGTAGGACAAAGATTCTTGGATAATTGTATATAGTAAGTATTGTTTATAAAAAAATAAACGATGTATGCCGAAAAAAAAACATTTTACTTTTCTATCATATGCAAATTTATAATATGTTTCAAACTTGTAATTAATACAGATGTCTTCTTCGACTCATTCACAAAATTTAAATATAAAAAGTGCCGATTATTGATTGTACGGAGCATTCTAGCATACATATTCAACGAAATTCATATCATTTTATTATGGCGCTTTTAAGCAATATTATTGGCCAATACAAAACGACGAAAAGTAGAAAGAGTATAGGGAACACGATTCTGCTGTAACAATCTATTTTCTGAGAGCGCGTTTTGCGCGTTTGCTTTATCTGGCATTCGGGATCTAGCCATTGAGTTGGCAATAGATTATTATTAATGTGCTTATTTATGGGTTTGATCGTGTGAACGAATTCATTATCCCAAGTGCTTTGTCTCTTCATCATTAATCGCTAAAAAATAATCGTATTTAACGGATAATTATATAGTAATACAACAGTCTTCTTATACGATAAGATTATTATGAGTTTAGACACGAACCGAGCGAGATTCCACGGAACTTTGCGAATCATTTTTCATGTGTCGCAAGTCGAGCACTTTGACTACGACGAATTCACCCAAAGCCGCGAACACGAACATCATACAGCCTGCCATCCAGACGTCCAGTGCCTGTGTGAAGCAAACGGTGTGATTTTTATACAGAAAAGACGGATATCAATACGAGGCGCTGTCTATATTATACAGAGAGTTCCATAACAAGCGCATAAGAGGCGATACTGAAGCTTCGAAGTACATTCGCAAATTTACACACCTTGATATACGCCACCGGTGGAATATCGCTCTTAAGACCAGTGAACATCGTTACCAGTGTAAGCATACTCGTCACCAGAAGTGCCACTCGACCAGGAATCGCGTCCAAGTCCAGCCAGAAGCTGAACCAGGAGAGCATCACCACCAGAGTCGACGGCGCGAACGTTTGTATCAAGTGGTGACCGATCTGCCTCTCGAACCGAAAGAAGACCACCAGCCGAGAGAAATTTCCTACGAGGATCATCAAATTATTAATTGGCAAAGTTCTAATGCATAATTTGTAATTGAAACAGCGATATTGGACAAAAAGGGAGATCGAGCTATTGATTAGATATCAGATTCAGATAAAAGGGAGTGCAGATTAAATACGTAAGTGTATTGAATTTTAACATACCATTTTTCTCGAGCGTATAATCTATAGTTTCTTCGAGTACCGCGGGCTTCCCGATGTCATATTGCAAAAGTTTCAATTCGGGATTTACCGTAACACCGCCCGCGCCCCACTTTAAGCGCAACTTCTTTGTATTATAGGAAACTGCAGGAAATAATTTAGATCGTAAAAAGTAGATAAATTTACCAAGATATTCGAGAATATTCACGTTTCTTGTCGCTTCTCTGTCATGTTTCAAAAATAATTTTAGAAAAGAGTGTGTTTCTATTGTACATTGTCGACTGCTTCTCGCATTTGCATTTACATTTGTACTTTAAACTTTACTTACAGCTTTCTATATAAATTGGACAGATTTGAATATCCATCGGGTACAATTGAAATTCCATTTGACAGGCGACAATAGCGTTAATTCGTGCAGAATATTTAATAGTCTTATTCCGGTACAACGTGACCAATGAGAATTTGTGGCTTAAAGTCGCAATCTCTGAAAATCAATACCTAATCGTATCGATACATAATTTATTAGCACGGAAGTTGAATAATATAGTTTACTCTTTAACCTTACCGGAAACTTTCGAATTTAAAAAATACGGATCTGGTTGCCAAAGATTATCGAAAAATTCCGAGGGAAGTATAACATAATCATCGCCTTCCTCGAAAATGTCTTGAGGCATATTCAGTCGAGATTCTATCCAACTTTGACTGACGAACATGTCCACGCTAATAAATATGCACACTTGTGACTATACAGGGTGTTCATAAAGTATCGGATCCCCCCCCCCTCTCTATCTCAGAAAATACTAACTGGATAAAAAAAACTTTAAATACAAAACTTTTAGGAAATCCAGTTAGTATTTTCTGAGATAGAGGGGGGGTCCGATACTTTATGAACACCCTGTATAGTCTTTTACATCTGAATTTTATACTTTAAATGAAAAAGATTAATTATCTTTATATTTTAATTAAATTCCATATTTTATAAATATATATATATATATATCAATTCATTCGATTTTCTGATTGTGACTGAAAAGAAAAGCTTTTATCTCACTTCAGTTTACCGAAAGTCCATATCTTCAACGTTGATAGAATTTATGTCGACCACTAAAATGTTGAAGTTCACCACTACAGGCGCGCCCGACGGCGGTCTAATTTCTGCAGAAAATTTTATCTTTTTACATATAATTGCTTATTCTTTGAGTGAGAAACGTAAAAAAAATGCAAGCTCCTCTAAGTATGAGCCGCATATTACCTTTAACATAATGTTCCGGCAAAATTAGCCTCGACGTCATAGAGCAATTGTTGACATCTTCGCTAAACAAGCTGGCGAGGAAAATCCCATCTCTCATCATCATTAAAATTCTTTTCTCATTCATTTATTAACGCAATTTGTTTAATTATTCAACATTGTCAACGTTCGTCATTTTATTTGCATTTTGGTATTACATGTTTCGTTACTGACTCATCGAGAATTCTCGTTACATTAAACGCGGGAGAATTCTTTAGTCCTATACGACTTTACGTGCACCGTCAAGACGAAACTGCTTATCTTTTCGGTTAGGTAACTTATTTGATCGCGCGAGAGAAAGATTGTTAACGAGCGACTTAATATACCGCGGCGTATCTCCGTCTGCGGAGAAGTAAAAGGAGTCGGAGTTGGAAAATTTGTTTCTTTCCTTTTCACGAAAATGTGCAAGAGTTTGGTATCATACCATCAAATTAAACATTAAGTAGCATTGATCTTAACATTAATCGTCGTAACGATTTTTTTTCTGGTCGCATATACTTCAAATCATCCTATCTGGCAATTTTCAGAAAGTAGCAGAGTTTGCTTTATTTTACAACTTTTGCGATTTATTTCTTTCTGATACGAATATGTTAAGAGAAGAGACACCGATCGAACTCGGGGTCCACTCCCTTTCGCGTCTCACAGACGGAAAACTGTTGCGCACGATTTTTCTTCGGCGATATTCGAAAGCGATAAAAGACGCCGCGATGAAGCGACGCGGTTTGTCGCGTTATACGTAGTGAAGCGAAAATGACTTTTAAAGGAGTACGAAGTCGTTTACCTCGAGGAACATACTTCCGGGAGAGCAGTCCACCATAGGTGAAGGAAAACTACTGGAAGTGCACGCTTCATCTCAGCCGGACGTGCCCGTCGCGACTGAGACACCGCGACGTCTTCCCGCGTGCATCCCTTGCCAGACCGCGGTCCTGGGCGGCGCGGCAATTAGTCAATTATCAATCGCATTTATTGTCGCAATCTAATCCAATTACAGGTATCGTCATCCGCTTTTGTGCTTGTCGCAATTGCCCGTCGCGAATTGCGTAACGATTTACTGTTCTGCGTAGATACCGCTAATTTGCATCGCGCGTGTGACGCGCGGGTCGAAGCTACCCGCGCACGCGAGGAATGTTACATTCGTGTATCATTCCGATTTTTAACACCGGCTCGCTAATGAATTGTATCGACAGTCTGATCTCCTCTTTTGTTTGCAACTGCAGTTTCAGACACGTACCATATTCCTCCGCTCGCGCGTTTTATCTCTGGAGACTTTTAATTTTATATCATTTTATCGCGTCGCGCGTTGCACGTGTAACATGTGTCAGTCTTGCAACGCTTCCAATATTTCCGGAATCTCTTATTCTTTACCTTATCTTCTCCTTCTGAAGTAGCGCTGTATTTGCACGTCAAAAATGATCTAACGAAGAAGAGAGCTAGATGTGTGTGTATATATAATGTGCATATCTTATCATCTTGATAACGCGCGCGAGAAGACAGATCCGCTCCTCGAGAGGAGAAAATCTAAAAAGAGACAGAGGGAAAGAGAAAGGTGAGAGTGAGAGTGGGTCAGTATAGGCGTCTGGGTCCGGGGAACTGTGTGGATGTAGCAGGTACCGATGCACGGGCTTCGCAAATGACCGAGGAGGAAGCGCGAGATTGCGGTTCGCCACGGCAACGCGCGTCCTTCCCTTTCCTCCTGCTCGCGTCCTGAGCAACGGTACCGTACATTTAAACGTCACGCGCGTCTAAAACCCGACCTCGTTCGTCGGCCTCGATGAGACCTCTCGTTCCTCCTTCGCTTATCTCTCTTCAAGGGTGTAGGACGGCGCGGAGGGAGGCGACGCTTTCAGATCCGCCGAAGAGGCGGAGATTTGCTTGATTTATTTTCAATGATGAATTATTTATGCAAAAAACGCAAGGATAGAAAATATACGATAATGAGAGAGTCTTTCTTCTCACATCTCTATTATATCTTCTTTAAGATAATTTCACAAAAACGAAAATATCGCTGTATTAATGTATTTCTATATTAGAGAGAGTATATTGTTTTTTTCATATATTGATATATTCAATAAGACGCTGTGGAGCTGTATTTCGTTTCGTGCAGAATCATCTCAGAAAATGTATGCAAATACTTTTTTTTTACGCAGTGCAGCTAATTTTGTTTTTACAGATGAATCTTGCACTTTGGCTCGAAAGACCCTAGCTAGGCTTTTGCTTTTCTTCCTCGTCAGCTCCCAGCCTCTTCCTCGATCCTTGCACAGTGTAAATTAGTTAGCGAGCGTATCTTTGGACTGAAACAAGTGATCCCAGACTTTAACCGTTAAAAGAATTGCCACCTAAAAGAATGGTCAACTTAAAAAATCGATCATCTATAAAAAGATCATCACATTTTCACCTGTCTGTTCGTGCGTTATAAGAAAAGTTATCGAACTTCGAAAGAGTATTTTAGATACAAAATGTAGAACACAATTAAAATAAGAGAATTTTTATATGCATCTCTTTCTAAGAGCAGAACTAAGAAGAAATAGGAAATTGGACAAACTACAGTTAACTTTAACAGTTTAGGCTTTTGGTATCGATTGTTACTGCTAATATAGTGAAAGTTTCTTCTAAGGCTAATCCATATACTTTGATCCGAATGTAGACTTCTGTTACCATCGGAAGAATTTCACACCGCGTGGGTGGATCAGCAAACAGTAAAGCGGATACTAGTGAGACGGTCAAAAAGATAAAGCACATAGAAAGTCTTGCACATCCATTTTCTGTTGTCCTCATTATTCTCTTCCCACAAATACATTTCGACATCGCGATTTACCCCGGTCAGGTTAAAGCACGGGCGGAAAGGCGAAAAGAAAAAGATTTATTTCTACAGGACCTTCATATATGTGGTTGAAAAGCGAGAAGATCGATGGGACTTGTGGCCAGCTATGATCAATCACGTTTTATATCCCAGCGACTGATTTGCAAATCTTAAAACGATGTCCCATTCCCCGTGCATTCCGTTCGTAATCAGCTAGCGGTGCAAAGCGACGGCATGTCCCGTTTGAGAGAATCCCATGTATGTATACACACAGGGGTGCAGGCTCCCCTGTTGTAGGGTTGTATTGATTTCTATGATGGCGGCCAGCCGGCGCCTGCACCTTCCGCGAACGGAGGAATGGCCAGGGAGCGTTGCTCCGTAGTGTTTTTCCATCCCCGAGGAGAGCGCGCGCGAAAACGCGGCGACAGCGGGAGGCGAAGTGGTGAATTGAGGCGCGTGAAAGCTAATTATTATCGCTTGACGGAAACGATAGATCGTGTCGCGCCGACGGCCACGTTACTTTCAATTCCGCCCCCGTGCGCGGGTTTGTCCAGGGACCGCCAGGCGACACCGAAGGTCCGTCCGCGCGGGTGATGGTGACCGTGTACGCGTATGGATCGTCGACGTGGGTGACGATCCCTGAGCAACCCGCGCTGCTACCGCCTCGATCGTCTCGCTGAGATCGCCGGCGAGCTGGTGTGCTCACATCATCGAGCTGATCGTTAGACGAAATCCTCTTGAATGAAAACTCTCGCCTATCCCAACGGGATACTCTCTGGTCGTTATAATCACGGCGGCACCGGCAAAGAGGGTCGTCGCCACGAAGTAGAAGGTCACGCGTGATCATCTTCGAATCACGCCGGAGAAATCAGCCGAGGAACGATACTCTCGGGTAAGAGATCCTCGCCAAACGATTTTATATTGTCGTGACTACGAAAAATTATACTCCAAGAGTTATCGGCGTGCTAATTTCTCGCGAAATATGCTACCTAGCTCGTTTGATAATGAATCGCTTTAGATTTTTGCTTTGCTAGAGCGCAAGTGCATGTCTCTCGAGCCGAGAGATATTATGAACGATCCGCTTGTTCGAATCAGATATCCGCGATTAAAGGATAGAATGCTGCACTTGTGTATCTGTCGAAAGTCAAAATTATATATCAAAAAAAGTTTTGGAACCGCGCGTTAGATGTCTGCCAGATGATCTAAGCGTAGCAAGAAAAGAGATATCTTGTTTGTTCTAAGTGCAGTACAGCGTAAAATTTTTTATTTTTAATATTGTATCGATTTTCTTGCCTAACGCAAATTGTTGCAAAAAGATGCAGAACTGCTTTTTCGATGCAATGACTTTGGCTGAGTAAGCATGCAATTGGTCGAAATTGGTCGACAAAATGTGAAATATTTTAGTCCTTTTCGTACTGATTATTCCTTAAATTGTCACCTCGTGACATTTATTCAAGTCTAATTGTTGTTTCCACCTGCAGTTCGCTTTATATGCGAAGGGAGAAAGTTCCGTACCAAGTTGAAACGTGTTTTTTCTCGTTAAATCAGATGATTTCGAGGTGTGTTAGTTAAATTCGCGTTCAATTTGTGTCAATTAATATCGAATCTTTTCACGGTTGTTTAACCGTAACTGCACATAAAGACTATACCGCACTTGTCACTTGTCGTACGTTCGCTGAATGACTCGTTAGCTCTATAGTTTACGCTCTATCGACCGACTTATACCCCCTTTCGTCATTTGTTCACATGTGTCTTACTTTTAATATCTCGGTCATCGACTCATTACAGCCCCGTGTATGTGCTCGATTCGCGCGAAGGCGGCATCCCAGAAAAGTTCGAAAATTCTCGCGGGTCCGCGGGAATTGTTAATTGCCAGTTGCGTCCTGCCGGTTACGTTTCTCTGAATAATGCAAAATGAGTTTATATACAGTCGCCGGCCGAGCGGCTATAGAGATAGTAATCGTGTTTGGCGATTTACGAAGCGGCACATTGTAAAACGCGCACTTCCCGTCGCGATGATCGACAATTTTGAACAAAGGAATTACGAGCGGCCGGCTCGATTGAGGCCGCATTCGGTAATTCGCATAAACAATTTTCTTGTTTAATATGCTGTTTGACGAATCGCGCGGGAAGAGGAGCGCACGGTTTGCACGCGGCCCGTCATCCTACGACATTTAACAAGACGACGAGACGTTCAAACGCGGTCAATCGCGCACTTAGTCATGTGACATGTGACAGTAGAAAGCATCAACGACATATCGCGATTCCGAGGCGGTTTAGTTAGCAGCTGGATCAAAATGACTTTTGTGTGTCCACCCATCGCGCGTTTAGGCTCTGAACGAATCCGCACGATGTCCCAGCCAGCCATGCCGGAAGCGCACCGTTTTCCTTCGCTTCGACTTCGCTACCAATTTAAATTTTACGTTTCCCTTTGAATTAAAATCCGATTTAATTGATAATTGAAGTCTCTCGGTTCCCTCTAATTTAAACAGGAGGTGGCGGCTCTGCATTTAATTTCAGCAAAAAGGCACGCGCTTTCCATTCGCGAGGAATTCTCGGCAGGCGCGCAATCGCTCGGCGCGTATTACGCCATTAACACTGTAAAATCGCGTGCGAGGACGCGAAGACACTCACCGTGTCCGAGGAGGGGGAGGGGGGTTTTACTTTCGCTTCTTCTTCATTTGTCAGATGTACTGGACGTACCAGCATATATACTCTGCGTGATGCGGAGAAATCACCGAAAGAAACATCTAATGCGCATTACGATCAAAGGGATCTGTTGCTCGTCGATCTATGTTTAATTATATGAAACTTATAATCTCTGCGTCATCTTGCTAATCTTGTTCGGCGCAATAAGTATTATTTTATTGCAACAAGAATATCGTATATAACGGCAATTAAACCGTAATAGTTGACCTGAGATCTGCTATAATAACCGGTCCTGGAGACGATAACGATCAATCTGTGTAACATCGGCTTACCTTGAAAACGCTTCTATAGCTTTTTTCGTTTCAAGCCTCAAAACAATAATTAAAATCATTAATAAACTGAAGCTTTCCACACGCTACGCATTGCTCATATTACACCGCATGCAAACGTACGCCGTCGAGAAGCAAAGAAAATTTCGCGCGCGCCGAATGTCAGTCACTCCGATCAAGGAAAGTTGCGCCTGTATATGCGAGAGGAGTCAGTCGCATCTCGGGTGTATACGCCAGGCCTAGACATTGACCTCGAAAGCGAGGTGATCATGGCTAGCGTAGAGACGTATCGAAGAAAGTGCGCCAATCAGCCTCCAACCGGTTTGCGTCTTACGTGTATCACTACGATCGGACGTTACAGTCGATTTCCTTCCTCGGAGGATTCTCTTTTGCGAACAGATTAATTAGTCGAATTGGCCAATCGATCGAATTACGTTCGGAAAAATATACGCTCTAATAATGCATGCGTGCGTAGCTTTTAAACTTTTGTAAGTATAACGGGAGGGTGGATAACAAATATGCCATAATTACGTAGCGTGGCCAGCATGAATTGAAATTCACAATGTGACAAAATGTAAAGAAATGTATAATTATAATATATATCTATACAGTTTCGAATAAATATAAATTAATAATTTATTATGATTATTCTGTGAACGCTGAGAAAACCGTTATTGGAAGGTCGAAACGTTTAAGATACACTGTTAAATCTATAGTGTCAAACTGAAACTTATTTAGTTACCACTGCTCCTACTTAATAAATATTTATTTTACTAGAACAGAGTTAAATAATTTAAAACAGTTCAAATTTAAGTCAAATTTGGGTTAAATTCTATTATTTTAGTTAAAAATAACTATATCTATTAAGTAGAAGCAGTGACTTAAATAAGGTTAAATTTGACGTTATAGATTAACAGTGTATATTGTACATCAATACATGTGTTTTATTATATTATTGTAATTAAAAAATTGTGAGCAATAACAATCAGCTCAGCTGTGTAACCCATATTAATTTCTATTATTAGATTTATTAAGCGTTTCAATTAGGAGAAATGCAAAAACGCATGATCACAGAGGTTTAATAAAAATCAATCGCTTTCACTTTGTCTTGGTGGGGAAGGGAGGGGGGGAATAACAATTGTATATCGTTTTAATTCTTTTCCCGATTGTCTACGGCGTCTACGCTGATATTGTGGATCGATCAATTATATCCATTCGAATTAGGATTCAAACTTAAGGCGGTACCAGGTGGTAATCCGCACGTTACGGTCCCTGCGGTTTACGTAGAAAGCGAAACTTAATGGCTTCAAGTATAAATATAAATATATAAAAAGACAGTAGTGAAACCGATCATCAGATCGATATTATCTCTCTTCTACCTTGAACGATACGTGCTACACGATGAAACTATATATGCAGCAGCATATAACATTTCACTTTTTGTACGATGCCAATCTGCGCTGTCCTAGAAATTACACACTTTCACGAATTTAAAGAACAAAACGACGCATTGTGAAACATCTCATTAATGTTTAGGCAAAAATTACGAAGATTTAGATGGAAACAGTCGAAATCTGATTGGGCGATACATATACACGACTTCTAAAAAGAAACATTATGTATAACTGACATGTTAACGTTCGCAAAATGTCGATGTTATAGAACATAACGAGACAATTAATATATCGCATATTTCAGGATAGATTAGGTTCTGAAAAGAATACTATGCTCTTATCTTAGTCAGGAATGTCAATAATTACGATACGATCCTATCTCTAACTGATGCAGAGGAGAAAGGAAGTGCAACCACTCTCTATCGAACAACTTTTCCCTTCTTTTCAAGCAGGCGTTAACTATAGACTGGTTATCGCAAAAACAAACACGTCGAAAGCAGTTTCACTTATTGGAATTGTCAGCGATTTGCATCGCGGATGACAATACTATAAATCGCGCAGGAAAGGCAAGTTTAAAATTTCCAATAACTGTTGCATCAGAATTATTCATGGTTTTTGCAGTAATAAAGATAAAGATCCATCGCGATTATATTGTCTTTTTATAATTATTTTCAATTTAGATTGCCACACACATTTCACATCTCTTAAAGTATTTTATAATTTTAAATCAAAACGCAAACGAATTTTGTACCACGTTAATATTTATATGAAATCAACTGGGTAATTTTGTGAAGCAATAACGATTACTTGTATAAGCTTCCAATAACAATGCAGAGGCAATGCAAATAGCATCTGAAAAATCACGCCTGTTAACTTTATAATGAGTCTAACAAGTCACTTTGTCGTTTGAGAGTTGCGACGTATTTCATAATTATTTACGACCTATTCTCAAAAACAAACGTAATAGATTCATAGTCTACGTTTAAATTTACTGATATTGATTGATTTTAATCGTATAATGGTTGTATCACTTCCAGGTCGTAGCATCAATACTTTATACATGCAAAAAGAAGATTTGACTAACAATAAGTGACGGTAGACTATTCTCTTCCTCCATTTAATTAATACACGTGAAATAGTTGATCTTGAATGTCGAGCTCGGTTATAGATTTAGAATTCAGTCGATGCACTACTATATTTTACTTGCAGGAAGTTACGTGATTTGAATGACAAGAAGGAATTTGAATCTTGCAAGTCTCAGATATATTGATATTTAACGTGTGATGAGTTCTCGGAAGATCTACAACGGCCGGCAAATATTTAAAGAGACACCAAATATTATTTCTTAAATTCGTGGTTAAGTAATGCCTCGCGACGCTCACATTTCCGCAAGAGGTGCCAAAGTGTGTCAGCTATCATTTTCCCAGGAAGTATGCGACATTAAAATCCGCGCTGAGTGACGTTCACCAAGTTTATTTTCTCTGTCGTGCGAAACTGTGTTTTGCCGAGTTAGAACGCTAGCTGTAACGTCACGCATTGCAATGCATATGCTCGGCATTGCATTGTTGTTGTATCAAAGCGTGAGCAGTCAAAGCCTTCGATTACACTAGCAGTATCTTTTTGAAGTAATAATAAAATTACACAAAAGGTATCATCGGAATAGTATTAATAAAATTAAAAGATTTCTCTTCTGTAATATTTTCTATCATATTACGGATTTTTTTCACATATAAAAATACATAAATAGCACACACACACACGTAAATCAGATAAATTTAATATTAATAAATAAGATTAATATTATTTATTTATGTCATTTATTTTTATTATTTTTTTTTTATTTGTTAGAAACTTAATATTTTGCGAAACACAAAACATACACGCTGATTTTGCACTAATTGTGAATCGCAGAATAAATGCATTGATAAAATCAGTAGACAATAAACTTTCAAACGCTAAAAAAAATTTTTTATTGTACACATAAAATGGATCGTTAAGGAGCAAGCATGTAACGTGCCACCTATATGCTTGTTAGAATGCTCTTTAAAATCGTATCGTGGCCGGTCTAAGGAGATACAAATGAGCCTAGTTTTTTGTTTCTTTAATCGCTGCCATTCAGCCGCTTGTAAAATAGAGAGTGTAAAGTAAAGTTGTCGCCGCGCTAAGCCGCAAAGCCACGACGAACGAGGTCGTGCAACATGTGGCATTCTGTCTTTTTTTCTCAGCTTTAAGAGAGATGTCCACTGCTTGAAGCGCTGTTTATTCATGAGGAGGCGACACATTCGTCTACTAAG